GTATTTTTGCACATTTGCAGGGCCTTTGCCTTGCACCTGAGAGTGGAGAGCAAACTGCCCTCGTTAGTTTTCCATCACGGGCTGGTTGCTTGGTGCTTTGTTCCAGAATTTGCAGGGGATTCTCCCTTCTCCTGTTTGGGAAGGCACTCCTGTTTAGGCAAAGCAGCTCTGAAAGAAACACCCCAAAAGCTCAGATCTCCCACCCTGATTCCACGGGCTGCTTCTCCAGCTGTGCCACGTGTGTGAAGGCCGCCTCTCCAGGCAGTTGTTTAATTACCTCATTGCCTCGTTAATGATCTAGGACACATCTTGTTCAGATCCAATCGCCCTGTTTGGGAGCAGCTCCCTTCAGCCCTGTCACTGGATCATAAAGCCAAATTTGCAGGCTGCATCCTGTAAGTTATAAGCAAGTTTTCCAGACAAAGTGTCCTGAGAATCTGCCATTAGTGGATTTATTTAGTGCTATTACAGCCCGGCTAATCCTCTGGGGAGAGGAAAATTAGGGTAACGCRTTAAGTGCTGCAGGGAATTGCCCTGATGTCCTGCTCCTTAGCTCTGGGGCTTGAACTSGAGAGGAGCTGCGGGATGCTGGAATGAGCCTGCAGAGGCCGTGGGGTGGGAAGAGCAGGCCGGTCCTTTTGATGTCTGAAGGGTCTGGAGATGAGTAGTCCCCAGCAGCCCCRGGACTGGGCTGTGCAGGAGGTGGCRTGGTSGSAATGTCCTGTACTTAGAGAGGCACAAAGGAGCTGGACACCGGCGTGCCCATGGGCTGCCCGTGCTGGATTTGGTCACCTCTGATTTCTGGATCTGCATCCAGAGCCCCCTGACCTCTGATCTGCAGATCCTGGCAGGGTGCTGAGCTTGCCCCGACCCAAAAAGCTTTTTAATTCCACCTGCAGGGAGAAGTCCTGGGGCCTTTGCACTTCCCCTCTGCTTATCAGCTGGGAGAGATAATGCAAAGCAAAACGAGGTTTGAGGACCCAGTAATTGCAGACTCCAGAAAATCACGTGTCCTATTTTTGCAGTGGGGAGGAAGGGTGGTTTTTTTTGTTCAAATAGGCTGTTCTGAGGCTCTGGGGAGTCACTTTGGCTTGGGTGAGAGCTGCTGCACAAGGAGGAAAGAGGGTTTGGGATGGGAATTGTGTGAAAAGGCACCATCCTTGGTGTCTGCCAGGCCAACAGAGGCTGGTGTTTGTGTGGGACCAGGCTCTGATTCCTCCCAAGGTGGTGTCTGGGGGTTCTGGCTCCACTCCCGTGGCTGCTCTTTGTGTTCCACCATTCTCCGTGGCTTTGGAGATGCTCAGGAGGGTTTCCCTGGTGCTGGGGTCAGCTCAAGGGTTACAGGCTCAGTCTCCAGAATCCTTTGTAAGCCTTGGCCGGCTGTCCCTGCTGGTCCTGTGGCCAAACAAGCAGCACTCCACGGGCAGAGCACCCCTCTTGGATGCAGGGGGCTCCCTGGGGATGTGGGGGTGGGTGCTGCTGGTGAGATGGGCTCCATATCGTGTAAATATGGGTCACCATGAGCAGGGGCTCTACAGGCTGAGGAGATCCTTGAGCTGCCTTTCCACAGGTGTTTTATGAACAGCTCCAGGCTGTTTCCAGGTGCCAAACAATTGGAGACCAAACCCCAGCCACTCTCTGTGTCTGTGCTCACTGCTTGTTCCTCTGTTTCTCCTCCTGCCTCCCAATGTTCAATTTGTTGACAAAGTCCTTCCCTCACTCTGCTGCGGCACCCACTACTCTAAAGAATCATTTAGGACCTTAAAAGTGGAGTTTTCCCTGTGGTGTCCGGCCAGGAGCAGGGTGGTGTGGTGGCATGGGAGGTTTGTGCAGTGCTTTGATTTTGTTGCATCAGTTCCCAGGAGGATTTCAGGAATGAAGAAGTTCAAACGTGAGGAGGTGAAGTGGGAAGAAAACAGACCCGAAGGAATGGTGAGCACAGGGTGTCAGGAGGGGAGAGGCACAGGGAAGGTGACTTTGTTGTCACCCAGGAGGGCAAATTGTCTCCACAGTAAATCATTTATGGGCCATGTTCACCTGCCAAATCCTCTGTAAAAACCTCAGAGAGCCCAAGCTGATAAGGAAGGCACGGCATCCTCCAACCTCCACCAATCTCTTACGAAAGATCAGGCCAGGTCAGTCCCTGAAATCTCCCTGCCCTGAAATGTTCTGTGCTCATTGAGGTYCCCCAGGCAGCTGTGCCTGCYCTCTGTCCCTGCAGGCCACTGCTCRTCTGTGTGAGCAGCAAGAGGCAGCTGCTGTTTGTGTGACTGCCCCGCAAAACCAGGCATCTGCATCCTGGCACCRCTCCCGGCCACCGGGAAAAATCCCGAAATGCTGATGGTGTGACTTCCCATGCCACCTCCTGCTGGAGCAGCCAGCCCCAGCTCTGCACCCCCAGGGGATGAGTCTGAGCCTCCAAAGAGAGCTGGAGCCCAGCTGGGAATGTGCCTGGGCAAAGCACAGCCGGCTCTGGGGTTGGGGTTGGGGTTGGGATTGGGATTGGGATTGGGATCAGTGGCAGCGTTTTGGAATTGCTGGGATGCAAGAAGGGCCCTCCCTGACCCATCTCTTGTGGGGACAGCAGCTCTGCCCGCTGTGGCAGGAGGGAGTTTAGTCCCTGCTGCAGCCCAGAGTGATCCTGTTGGAGCTGGAGCTGATGGGGCTGTCTGAGTGTTGTGTTTGGGACATGGAGCCCCCTGGCAGTGCTGATGGGATGGCTGTCCTGCAGCCCCGTGCTCAGGTTTGCAGCTCCTGCCCGGGGTTCTGCAGCTGTGGGGGTGGCTGTGCTGAACTGGTTGGACTGGTCTCTGTGCCTGTTGCTTCTTGCAGGGTCTGGGTGAAGCACCGGGCTCTGCCCTGGCACGGCCCGGGCCGGTCTGGGCAAAACCCACGGARGATCTGGCAGTGCCCTGGGCTGAGTCCAGCGGTGCCTGTCACACTGTGAGGATCTCACAACCCCCTGAGGATTCTTGCAGTGGCCTCCCTTTCCCTGTGCAGGTCTCAGTGTCGGTCACAGTGCAGGGGAGGCCGAGCTGGCGGCAGCAGAACATTCCCTGTGTGCCCCAGGCTGCAGCAGACGCTTCTAGGCAGGATGCTGTGCCAGGGCTGGCAGGACCCATCACCCCAGAGCCATCCTCGGCTCTTCCCATGGCTTCCCCCTGCTCTCCTGTCTCGGGATGGGGCTTTGCTGAGGGCTGGGTGAGCCCTGCTCCTCCAARGGTGCACATGGGTTCTCTTTTCCTCCTCCCCTGTCCCGCTGAGCTCAAGGCAGGCTGGGTTCTCAGCATCGCTCCCAGACCGGGGCTCAGGACCAGGCAGGTCCTTTCCAGCTCTGTCAGCAGCCAGGGGCCGTGCCAAGGACGCCGCTGCCCTCCCAGAGATGATCCCTGTGTTTTTATGCCCTGTCTGTGGCACAGAGGCTGCAGCTGCCTGCCAGGGYGCGTGTCTGTGTGTGCACAGGGTGACAGTGAGTGCTCCGTCCTACCCAGGGATCCTGGCCAGCCTGGGGAAGGCTCCCAGCTGTGTCTGGGCACACAGAGCAGAGGAAAGCTCTGTCTGGGAGCTGAGCTGAGCTGAGCTGAGGAGCCCCAGCCCTGGGCTGCGGGGTGTTGGTGGGTTGGGAAGCTGGCTGTCCTCAGGGGTGTGTTGGTGTGTGCTGGGTTTACTCTCAGTGCTAATTCCTAGAGCTTCCTCCACGTGCCAGGGGTGATTTCCAGGGGATTTACAGGCAGCTGATGTGCCCAATTCAGTTTCCTTTGAGTCTGCAGGGAATCAATCCCCTCCTGGCCTGCGCAAGCAGCAGCCACACACAGAAGGGCTGGTCCCTGATTTGTGTGGGTACAAATTAAGGSCTGTGTGCCATCAWATGCTTTCARATCTCATCCCTGGCAAAGCTTCAGRTCACCTAAAGCCTCTGAGTGTCAGTGTCAGGGGCTGGCCATGGTCTGGGGGTGCTCCTGGGGCCCTCCAGCAGCTCAGGTCAAACAGCATCACTGCTGTTATYGGTCAGTGGCAAAGGGGTGATCTCTGAGCAAACACTTTCCACCCTGTGTCATTCCCTTTCTCCTGAGAAAAATGTGATTTAAATTTAAAGAGGACAAAGAGGTCACCCCAAAAGGGACAACAGATCCCAGACCTTTTCCTCTGGTCTTGGGCCACACAGAAGAAGGGAAGAACAGCCACAAACCTGTGTTGGCATCACTGGTGGCTGATTCCATCCTCTCCCTCCCTCCCTGCTCCTGCCCTGKATCAGATCCCCTATTGCTGTCAGCCTGGAGCACAGGGCTCCTGGTTTGTGGGATGTTTGAACTTGGCTTTATCTGAAACCAGCAGGTGGCCAGCCCTGGCTGTGGCCAAGGAGAGCCGGATGGGCATCCCCAGGAGCCACGGAGATGCCAGGGTGTTGCTGGGCTCACTGGGAACCAGCTGGGGCTCTGAAAGAGAGGGGAAAGAGCTGCCYAGAGGCAAAGCCTGGGTGTCTGGGTAGAGCCTCAGACCCAGATCTTTGGGGTTAGTTTGTCCCAGAGCCTGAATCCCGCTGGTTGAGGCCCCTGTAATGCTGAGCTGGAGCTGCCAACCTTCCCTCTGTGTGAGCCAGGGCCACCTCGTGCTGAGCCTGGGCCAAAAGTGTACTGGACTGCACAATTACAGCGTGTTCTGAGAACTGCTGATTCCCAAACTGCTGCTGCCACCTTGGAAAACTCTCACTCGGCTTTGTTTGTAGGGGTTCTGCTGTTCKGTAACATTTTAAACAGCTGCTGCGAGGACACGCTTTAAAACGTGTTTCAGTGGCTGCAGTGCTGTCCCTCCAAGTGGCAGGGTCGCGTTCCCAGGCTTTTCCTCTCTGCCCCTGTGCTGGAAGCTGCGGCTGTGTGAGCCCAAACACTCTCCGAGCCAGGGCGAGGTCTCCCGTTCTCCCTCTGGGGCTCTGCTCTTTCCACCCCGAACTGGTTTTTCGAGTCACTTTTTTCAGATGCGCCTCCATCGCTGCTGCTGCTGCTCACCTGCGTTCGGGGAGGAGCCTGCGGGAGCTGCTCTTTACCCCGCCGCCGAGAGCTGTCCTTCCATCCCCGCCGAGAGGAGCAGGGAGCCGGCAGCCAGCGCCCACCGCCACCGTGCCGAGCCGGGACAGCAGCTGGGAACCGGCCAACATGTTCAAAGGGGTGGGCAAAAGCTCCCCGAGCAGGAGTTCCCCCGGCAGGGGCTCCCCGGTCAAACCGAGCAAGTAAGTGTGACCCTTCCTCTCTGTCCTGTGATTCTGGGGGAGGACAGGGGATGGGGGGTCCTGTCAGCCACCCTGAGAGCCATCACTCTGTGGAGCAGCACAGGGTTGGGGCTCGCTGGGAGACGATGCCCAATCGTGCTGCCCTGGCTGCTGTCCTTGTCTTKGGTGGGTTTTGTGTCCCTCTCTCCCTCCCAGGAGTGTCCGTGCGGCGCTGGGATGTGCTCAGAGCTGTGAGCACTGAGCGGGGAGGTGCAGAAAGCTCTTTTTGGGCAGGGGGGAGCAGGATAAACCCAGCCTCAGTGCTGGGGTGGAGCGGGGTCTGCTCAGTGGCGGAGCAGATCCCAAATCCTCGCGTTCCTGGCTCTGTGGGGTCAGTGTGGGGCTGCTCTGGGGTTCCTGGAGAAGGATGCTCAGCCTGGCGCTGCTCAGGAGGTGGAGATGGTGAGGATGGCTTTGCACAGGCCGGGTCTCTGCAGGTCGAATTGCTGAGTTTGCCTCTTTCACACCGGGCCTGGTGGGAGGTGTCCTGTGGCAGGGGCTTGGAACCAGGAACTCTAGGGTCCCTTCCAACCCAAACCATTCTGTGACTCCATAAAAAGATTCCCTGAGTTCTGAGGAGTGAGATGTGTGATGCTTCCCGGGAGGGAGTGCTCCTGCAGGGAGAGCTCATCCCTCCCTCCAGCTGCCGTTTGTTAACTCAGGATTATTTTCCACCTTCCTCAGCAATTTTGCGTTTCCTAGTGCTGGTGGGCTGGTTCCGTGGGGATCCTGTGCCCCAACAGAGCTGGAGGCTGAGGAAATTGCCAGGAGGGTTGTGCTGAGGAGGTGCAGGGTGTGCTGACCCCATCTCCTGTCCAGGACAGAGTCTGTGTGCGTGTGGACACCTGGGTGGCCACAATGCAATTCTGGCACCYAAATGTGGCATTTTGGGGCCAAAGCCCAGGTCAGCCTGCAGCCACTGAGGAGGAGGGTGGCTGGTGAGGGCAGTGGGACCTGGGGGAAGGTGACCCCACAAAGGTTGGGGCTGCCCAGGGTGAGTCAGGAGCTGGACCCTGCCCTGAGACACCTCCCCAGCAGCCTCTGGTGTGTCCATCCTCACTAAAGCAACCCATCCACCTCCTCCAGAGCAGGCTGAGCATTCCTGAGGCCGTGCAGAGGGTTTGGGCAGGCTCTCCCCCAGCTCAGAGTAACTGCAGCTGCATCCCAGGCAGAGCTCACAGCTCTCCCCGTGCAGGATGGAGGCTGCAGCCACGAGCAGCAATTACCCAGCCAGTCGTGCTCGTTTCAGGAGGCACCAACCACCAGACACAGCCTCGCTCACCTGGCCATGGCCTGGGGCTTGGTCAGCGCCCAAAGTGGCTGAGAAAATGAAGGAGGATGAGSTGTCTCGGGAGCAGCCACCAGAACACACCCTGCAGATGGCCCCGAGAAAATGTTGGTGGCCCACAGCTGCTCTTAGTGGCCCCAAGGCCAGAGCCTCAGCAGCAGCTGGGTTTTCCTGTCTCTGGGCTTCACCATCAGCAGCTGYATCCCTCTAGAGGGGTCTTGATCCTTGGGGTCATGGTTCACCCTGACTCTCAGGAGCCTTTTCTGGCTCTTTTTGGTGAGGGAGGGGATGTCAAGAGCAGTTTTGTCCCCAAGGAGCATCCTGGATGTGCCCTGCTCTAGGAGGAGGCACTGCAGGGCTGAAAGGGAGAACTCCCGGGAAGGTGGAATTGAGTTGGATCTGGCTGGACTGGCTGTGCCTGGGTGTGATTTTGACAAAGGCTGTGGGTGGTTTGGGAGGTGGATGGCAAATCATCTCCTGGGATTGCTSCTTTTTCCACCACCTCCCTGTGCTTGTCCCTGCTTAGTCTGGAGCAGCGTGGATCCTGGGGACAGGCAGGGGCTTAGGGACTAACCCAGCACTGGCAGGGTGGGGATCACTGGGATCTGCTGGCAAATCACCAAATGTGATTCACCAAATCCCCTACACCAAATGTGCCAGGGCTTCTGTGGGCTGGGGAGAACCACAGCTTTGGGGTCTGCCCCATGTCCGTAAAGCAAACCCACATTTGGGGTCTGCCCCGTGGCCATAAGGCAAAGTCCCCATGAGGAAGGGACACAGGGGGCAGGGATTGCAGTGGGTGGTGCTGTGTCCTGCCCAGAGTGCCTGACAGGAGTGACCAGGAGTAGGGGACAGTCCTGCTCCTGTGTGCCCTGGACTGTCCGGGAGGCAGAAAGTGGAGAAATGAACCAATTAATAATGCTAATGACAGTGCTGTGCCTCTGCTGGGCATGGCATAGCCCTAGGGAGGAAGCTGCCCGGCTCCTGAGCTCTGCCCAGCCCTGCCCTCGGCCATCCCGGGGCTGTGGCTGTGCCAGGCACCACGCCCGGGGCTGGACCCGACTTTTGGGAGGCTGAGGGGTGTCCAGCTCATGGCTCCCCATGTCCCAGCTGATGCCAGGCTGCCTCTCTGCACCCCAATGGTCAGCTGTTCGCCCTGAAATGCTGAACCCGGCTGGGTCAGCTCTGGTTGAGTGCAATGTCCTGCCCAGGGGTGGCAGGGATGGGCACGGGGACACGCTGAGGAGGGACATTGAGGCACCAGTGCCACCACGGGCTGTTTGCACGGACAGGAGGAGCTCACACTTCCTCTCAGCACAGCCCTGCTGCTCCAGAGATGATTACTTTGGGGAGCATCCCCAGTTCCCTGAAACCCAAGCTGTTTGCAGCTGCATCCCGGTCTCTCACCTCGGGTGCCCCCGTGCAGCCCAGGCTGGGGTGGGCTGAGTGCCCCTGACCAGGAGGTTGCTGGCATCTTTTCAGCCCATAGTTTTATTGTGGCTCAGCCCAAACAAAGCAGATCCCTTGGGAACCGAGTGACGGAGCGCCCCAGTGTTTCCTTCAGCCAGCAGGAATAAACAGGATTTTATGGGTGACCTGGGAGGGATCCTCCCTTCTTCCCTCTTGGAGCGGCACAGAGGCATCCACAGCCCCGTGACAAAGCGGGATGGGCTCGAACAGGACACCCCAATGACGCTCTTGAGGCAGGAGGTGAATTGAGCCTGTCCTGGGGGGACGGTGCCGGTGCCCGGCACAGGCTCGGTGCCCCCGGGAGAGGCTCGGTACCCGGCACAGGTTCGGTGCCCCGGCACAGGCTCAGTGCCCCGGGACAGGTTCAGTGCCCGGCACAGGTTCGGTGCCCAGGGACAGGTTCGGTTCCCCGGCACAGGTTCGGTTCTCCGGGACAGGCTCGGTTCCCCGGCACCGGTTCGGTGCCCCGGCACAGGCTCGGTGCCCCGGCACAGGCTCGGTTCCCCGGCACAGGTTCGGT